AATAGACAAATAGTGTTAAGCGTGTTTGCATCTTTTAAAAATTTTTATCTCTTCAATTAGGATGAGAATTCATCTGCATTAGTGTTTGTGAACGCGTGAAATTTAACTTACACGTTCATTTTAAGTGCGTTTCCAGAAAAATTTTAAAATAAGATTTCTTATAATTCTTTTAAGATTAGTCTATTAGTTTCTTTGATTTTGCTGGAGAGGAAGTTGTGTATTTTCTTTTCTTCTCTTCAAAATTTTTATCTTTCTTGGTATTTTCTCTGTGATCGATTATGTTTAGGCTTTTGAAAAAGAGTTTAAACGGAAGAAAGGGTTACGCGTTGCAATTAAGGATGCCAAAAAATTTGAATCTTTTGTTTTAAATAACAAGGTTTGTTATTATCTTTTCATTTTAAGTTTATGAAGGTAAGTAATTATTGTTTCTTCTGGTTAGAAACAGTTCATGTAAAAAGGGCACTCAAGTAACATTTATCTACCAGTGAGGCCCTGCAGTATTGTTATTAATTTCTTACAGTTAGGAAAGTTTTCTCAAAACTACTTTTTTGATCAGCATTATCTAACTAGAAGTATTCGGAAAATTCACGGCTTTATTCGTGACGATTCCGTTAGTTCGTGGCAGTAGCAATTTAAAAAATATTATTCTTGAAACAACAGTATTTTTTTTTCTATGAGATATTTCTGTTGTCTTTTGAAGACAGTATGGGAAGGTAAAAAATATTTGTTTTTTCTGAATGCTATGATGAAATCACTTTAAGTTTGTTTTACGTACAAGCTTAGTTCAGCTGTTGGGCAGTTATCTTTCCTAATTTATTGACGTGAACCATACGCTATTAGTTTACTTTTTGCCACCAACTTAGGTGTCTGTCGTTCAGAAGAAAATACTTTTTCCTTTATTCTTGTGTAGTAATGCGGAAGCTCCTTTGAAAAGTTTAATTAAAGCCAATTTCAGAGTCTCTAAGTTTTTTTCTGAATTACTTTATGTAGTAGTTTTCAGTTAACAAGTTGGTCTTTAGAATCATTTAGTTTCTCGCAAACGCCAAATTGAAGCCATAGATGATGGCCGGACCAAAAGGCTTAAACTGTCGCAGGAAGAGCGTTTTGTCAGTTACATGCCAAATTCAATGGGAGGCTTTTCGAAAGAAGTTACAGAGATATGTGACAGGATGGTACGTCGTTTTATTTTTTTTT